GGGGGGAAGGTATACTACTGATCTAGATCTAGCCCGTGTGAGACTGGGTGCTTTTGTAAGAGTAGCTTATTTGTATGGAGTGAGTCAGGATACAGTATTTCATTGATGATTATTATGGTTGTGGTTCTTGACCTGAGCTGTGAGATTTGGAAATGCAACTTATGAATTTTAATAGCAACAGGTTATTTAATGTTATTTATGTGAACAATCAGTTCACAATCAGAACAATCAGTTAAAAGTATTAACCTTCTATTTTTTATGAAGTAGTTTTCAGTACAAGTTTTAGAGCACAATGAGCTCTTAGTAGAAAGAAAGTTATGAATAAGTGTGGATTTGGACAAAATTTATATAATTGGTTTACCTCATAAATAATCTGATCGTTTAATACAGGTTGGAGAATTGTATGCTAACTTGTACCAGGGTGTTGAACCCTGTATATTGCTTCTTTGTAAAAGCAAGTTGTATCTAAGTCCAGAAGATTCGTGTGTGACAGAAATTAAAAGTGTAGTGGTGGGAGCTGAGTGTCCCAGAGAGCATATCAGGACACATTAGCATGCTGACACAGGACCCCACTAAAACCTGCCCCTTCTGGTGGGTTGCCAGTAAAGAGGGAAGCTCTTAGGATACTGGGATGGGAGTAACTTTTGTTTGCTTTTGTATCCTCCTTGCATCAGAAATAATGCTAAATGCTTATTGCCTTCATTTTTTTTTCCCTCCATCAGAGAAGAGGGGTCTGGAGGCAGAAATGAATGAAACGGTCTTTCACTCCCCTATGTTAGGGAAGGCCTGGCTGGCTGAAATACTCTTCCTCTTCAAGTCCTTGCCACTCCCAGCCGTGCTGAGTCGGCGCCCTTGGTGCGGACAGGAGTGAAGGTTGCTTTCCTTTCTCCTCCCTCTGCCACTCCCCATTCCCCAGTCACCTTCCCTAGAAGTGGCCAGCAGCACCCTACAAAGCACCTGCAGGAGCTGCTCCAAACAGCATGCTGCTATGTAGAGGATAAATGCAACATATCCTCTTCTCCCTGTTTGGCAAAAATGCTGTGAATCGGTGGGACAATCAAAGTTGGATCAACTGAAACCAGGACAGATCGTTGGAGGAGGTTTCACTTAGTGCAGGTGCAGAAGAGACATTTGTAAACACAGAGCTGAGGGCTTGTAGAAGTGATTATTTTGCAAGTTCTTTGCTTGATTTCTGCAAACAAGAAAAAATAAGTTTGGAAAACATCTCTGAACTCTTTCAGTTACACTGGTACACGTCCCTGAAGTACAAAAAGGATAAGAGAATGTTTGGTCAGGTTTCAACTGTTAAGGCTGCTGAATGGCATCTTTCTGGTTCTGCTTTGTTCATGCATATCTCTGCTAGTCTAAGGTACCTGCCTATGTATATGTTTTAAAATCAGCATCTTGCATTTTAACTTTTATAATCTTTTGCTAGTAATTTTTTATCGTTCTGTGACTTCACATTAGTGAATTGAAGTTCGGCTGTCATTTTTACATCATCCTAACTTTTACTGCTCTATTCCCTGGAATTCTCTTGTCTTGCTGTAGTTGCTTTTGCCACAATTATTTGCTGCAGGCTTATCTCTGTGAGTCACCTTTATTCCCTACTCTGTGTCGTTACTGCATTGACAGTACTAGAATGACAGCATCATTCTGCCACGTATTTGACATCAGTGTGGATTTCTAAGATCCTTTTTCTTGACTTCGTACCTTTTCAGGAGTAAGGCCATGTTTTGCATGTGGCTTCCCTTCTGCAGTGGTAAACTGTGTTGCAGGCTACACCCTTATTTATCCAGTGACTGTTTCACAACAGTGGTGTGTGATCTTGTGACCATGAGATTGGATAATTGTAATTCCCTCTTGGCAAGACTCACTGTGAAGCTTTCTCATCTGCAGTTTGTAGGGAATGCTGCAGTAGGTTTGGTCATTGAATTGGGCAACTGTCGTTCTTACCTACCCTGCGTTCTCTAAATTGCAAGCTTGGAAAATGGTAGAGATGGGCTGTGTGCTACTTGTATTGATTTTTAATGTTTTTAACTACATAGTCTCCAGTATGGACATGATTTTGTACTCGAAATGTGATTGTATATTTCATCCTTTCACCATTGATCACTAACGTGGGTGAGCCTATTTTGTGATTAAAACATATATAGATATGTGTCCAGGTTTTCTGTAATGTGAAGTAGGCAAGGTCAATCCTGAATCCTCCCCTAACCTGGAAAATGCTGAGTAATGTGGTGGACACCTATTCCCACGAATTGGGAAAAGGGTAAGTGCTAAATAGTACTGCCAAGATCATCATTGGCAAAACTCCTGTCTGGAGAAGACACAGACAAGCTTTTGTGCAGCTTCTCGGTATATTTGGCTGGTTTGGCTTTTGATTTCCCTGGCAAGACCAACCTGCTGCGCAGACTTGATCCACTGTTTTTAAAAATGCATCTACGAAGAGGGGAGACATTAATTGCCAGACACTTTTCAGTCTTTGATGTATTTTGGATATGGCGGCCCTCGTGCAAATAAAGGGAGGGAGAAATAAAGACAGTAAGGACTGTATATTTTCAGATAGATGCTTTCCTTGTTTGGGGCCCTGTTTGCTGCCCCCGTCCGCAGTACGTACACACTGTGCACATATGGTGCAGGAAAACTGTACCTCTCAGGAGTGCCAGGTTCGTTGTGCACATACACAAGGACAGAAGTGTGCATATACAGTAATCCCAAGGGGTCGGGAACCCAGCAGGTTGACAGCACATGTACGGCTTGGGGAGCCTTGGGTCAACAGAGGATATAGACAGAGTGGGCCTGGCATGCTGGGTGGTGTTGGGCTTGCTAAGGGTGTGGGAAGTCTTCTCATGGGGCACCTTTATCGTTGTGTATGGCCCTCCCTGATACTGAAACAAGATAATGCAGTTTATCAACCTCTTCTAGAATATGCTCAAACCCTAATTCCCCTCCTAATCTTAATGCTATCTCACTCCTTATCTCACAGATCTCTGCAGTCAGGTGGTTTAAACCAACACCACTTTTCATGTTAACCTGGAGGTGCTTTCTAAGCTGCAATTTATGAATATCTGCTGGCCTGAGCCTCAACCCTAAACCCAATTCCAGTATTATCCTTTATTCTAGGCCAGCGCCCTCTTCTAAATCCAGATGTGAGTAAAGCCACATAACACTTTGATAGCAGGTTTTATTCTGTGCTGGTATTTACTGGGCTGAACTGCCATCCTAGGCCTAGCCCTGTCATTTCTTCCTGCTTTGAACATCATCGTAGCCAAATCGCTGCTTCCAGTACTAGACTTCACCTTACCTGTTCTTCACCTTCCCTCTTCTTCAGAGCAGAGGTGCTGTCAGTAGTGTCTGCAAGTCATGACACTAACCTTTGTCACTGCCTCTGCTACCTTTTTCTGCAAGAAGATACGTAAGGAGGCAGTGGTCTTCCTGAACCAATATCTTGCTCTTACTTATGTTCACCTTTCGTCCTTAAAGTTAACTCAACTTTGACAGGAACCTTATCTGTAGCCAAGCCACACCTTCTTATCTCAGAAACAAATATACGTGGATGGCTCCGGGTGCTCAGTGGCCTCTGGTCCCAGGCCTTACTTAACTAATCACTTTTAGGTAATTCAGTAATAGTGTTTGTTAATTCTGACCAAAAATTAACTGTCGTACCACTGCTGCTTCACAAAGATGAATTAGTGACCCAGGTCACATAGTAAACTCGTACTTAGGAAATCTCCATGCTGACCCATTAATTTGTATGAATATTCTTTTCAGAGCAGTGTGTGCAGTATTGTGTTATCTCGCTATAAAAAAATGTAAACAAGATTACAGTTTGCAATATATGTATTGGTAGACTTTCATGTTTATGCTTTGCTTGTAAACAAAGAGGAAGAATAAGTTGTTTCTGTTAAGAAAACCCCCATATTTCAGATATTTGAGTTGTCCTTTAATCATAGGCATGGTCTCTAAAATGAGAAACTTTTTAAGTCTCGGTGACTCGTATGTCATGGTAGTTTGAGTATATGACTGTCTTATTTCAGTTGGAAGGAGCTGAAATTTACAGTGGTGATATTGATCTGCTTGTGTTTTGTTTTGAGTACTCTGATGGTAGTACAGATCAACTATCTACGGCATGCGTAGAGTTACAGAGGAAAAGAAGAATATGTCCTGTCTCTATGCAATTACAGATGGGATGAGAAGATGTGCATATTTTGGAGGCTTCTTTCTGAGTTTGAGGACATACTTTATTATATAGATGGTATGTGACCCCATGTAAGTATAATATGGGAACCTGTCAGAGGGGAACCAGAAAATGCAGTTAAAAATAAGTCTGGGTATTTGTTTATGACAGACAAAGAGTTCATGTTACTGGAATTCAAAAGCCCATAATTTTGCCTAGTCCGTGAGGTTAAAATTAGTAAGATGCAGCTTTCTGTGAGGGTAGTTCTATTTAGGGTTGGGTTGGCTTTCGCATTTTTGTATGAGCCTGCAGAACAGTATTTGTGCTTCATTTCAAAACAAACAACTTGCAGTAACTCTGTCTGAAACTGATGAAGATTTTGGAACCTTACTGAGATGGTTACCAATGCCCCAGATGTTGTCAGTTCATTTTATATGAAAAAGGAATGCAACAACATTGGCCATTTCTGAAATTCATCACACTCA